AGAAAGTAAGAGAGAGTGGGCGAGAATGAAGTCCAAACAATTTATATTAATCATACGCAATGTGGTGCCAAATTGTTCCGGGCATTGCCAGCACTTAAGGATGCCCCCGCCAGGATCTAGGATCTAGGGGAACCCCTTTCTCAGCGGCATTATCTCAGTGCTCAGTGCAACAACAAAGACAACAATGATGACGAGGACAACGGCAACGACAACGACAACGACGACGATGGCGACGACATTTGGAGCAATTTTCCAGACAAAGTCAAGCTCTTAACGCATGCAGCCGCAGGACGAAAAGAGGATGCACAGGATGAGAGCGATAAAAGCGACGGCTAAAACGGATGCTGTATTATCCCTAACGAGCAGCATATAAAAATAAATTCCCCCTCCCTTCCAAATGTAGAGCGGTTTTCAAGCCGAAGTAGGCGTGGCCAATTGGCCTATAATTTGCACAAGGCACGAGTGCACTCAGCGAAATAATATGTACTTAGGAAACTTCAAAATTATCATTATTTGGGAGGCACTTGTAAGTGAATATGAGTTTTAATCTTAATTAAAATATCGTTGAATTTGTAGGAAGTTTCCCAATAAAATAGCTTAAAATAAATCATTGAATATATAGTTGAACAATCTCAAAGTCAATGGTAGATTAATTTGCTAAATTATAAAAGAAAATTACCTGATTTCCTAGTACACATTTATAGAACTTTCTTAGAATTTTTCTAGGATTTTCTTAGAATTTTCTTTAGTGTTTTAAGCTGGCCTCAAATGCATTGCACGCTAATTAGGCTGAGTAAGTAAGGACAATTGTCCGACGACAAGTGCAATGGTCTACATACTCGCAGGACGCAGGTCGCAGGACGACGATTATTAATTGGGCTACTTGGCAGACAAGGGAGCACTTGGCACTCGATTACCGTATCCTACGTGAGTGAGTGGTCCTGTTTTCACAGGACTCTCATCATTACGAACATATATAGCATATTCTATGTGTTGTGTTTCTGGCAAAAGTTTGTCCTTTGCTGTGTCTTATGGCCAATTAAGCAACGCCACTAAAAGCAATGAAATCATATGTTAATTCAGACTCGCAGAAAGAATAGAGATAACTAATTTTAGTGTGAATAAACTAATGCTTTAAATTGAATATTTTCCAAACAGACTACCCGCAGAGTTTGCGCCTAAACCAAAAAATAAACAATTATTGGAGATTAGAATTAGTTGGTTGGATATCAAATAAAATCTAGAACTAAAAGCGCTTAATACATACATTGTTTGGTGTATAAAAAAGTTGCTGCATTAAAGAAGTTTTTAATACGGGAAGTAAAAACTGCACAAGTCAGAATATGATATGTTTAAGTATGTAAATTTGGGCAAACCCTTAAAAAGAGTCATTAAATAAAATGTAGAAAATCAGGAAGGGATAAGAGTAGTAAATCTAAGAAGTTAAAGTTAATTATTTAAGCTAAGACACAATTTTCAAGATTTTATATATATTTTCTAGGAAACCACATAATACATTTTATAACAACAGCAATTTGAAATATTTTCCCTCAATTCTAGATACTTTTAGTTCATATTAACCCCAAAACAATCAATAACCAATTACTTGGCTCTATTTTCAATTAATCCCAAGATGATTAATTCACAAAATGCTTTATATTTGAGACCAGAATTTTGCTTATTTTCGCCCAAAAGGCAAAACAAATATATGTATGTATATATACAACATTTGGTTAAATCTGATTGAGTTGCCGGTTGTTTAATATGATTAAGGCTCTAATTGGTTCAATCAAAGTGTCTTCAGAGTTAATTAAATGCTCGGCTTGGGGAACCTTTCAAAACAAATTCCAATAATCATTGAAATAATTATCTATATACCCACACACACACACTTGTGAAACTGAGAGACTGAGATTGAGAGATTGACTGACTGACAAAAGTTTTACGTGCCAAAAGGCGGAAGGAGGCAGCCGCCGGGCGTTGATTATTTAAGTACTTAAACGTGTTTCCGTTAATGAGCTACGAAATAATTCATAAAATACCAAAAGGCTGAGCATTGCCAAGCTCCTCTACTTCATTTTCCTGGAATGATAACCGCTTTTCCCTCACCCCATCACGAGAAATATGTATTTCTGTGCGGAAAAATGTATTTACTTAGTCGGCGCTTCCAGACTCCTCTCTGTCTCTGTGTGTGTGGGAGATGAATGAGTGAATCACACAATGAAAATGTTTTTATTTACTTTTGATTATCTGCTTATGGACTGCACAACAACAGAGGTATTTCGGTAGCGGAAAACAGTTGGAAAAAACCAGCGGGGGAAAATCCAGACTGAAGCCAGAAAGACCCAGAACTGCAGTAGTTGCCATAAATTAAAGTAAAGTATTAACTAGGCTCTGAAAACAGCTTCCCAACTACTTTACACTCTAAAACCATAAAAGCTTTTTAAGTTACATTCTGAAAAATATATAAAACACCTTTAAAGAGAACCAGCTTTTTCAGCTTAATTAAAAATTAGAAAACAGCTGAAAATGTTAAATTTAAACTAGTACCACTTTTTGCTAGGGAAAATCGGTAACAATGGGGCACTGGAGGAAAATGGAAAATGGAGATGGTGGCGTCAACATGCCGACCAGGAAGGCGACAACAAACAAACACTGGCTAACAAACAAATAAGCAAACAAGTAAACAAACGGCAAACAAACGGCTTATGGCCAGGCTTAAATATGGAACATATGGCCAGTGATGCTGGCAAGCGAGGGTTGCTTTCGCAGTTTGATTTCCCCCTTTTTTTTACGGCTCTTGCGGTCACAAATCACTGAAATGTTAAGGATATAGTAACAATGCATATGAAGAACAGGATAATCTACAAAAAAAGCTACTAGCTGTTGTTAATTATGAAGGATTCTGTTAGTTTCCAAATAACTTCATTCCTTTTTTAAAAGCTTTTCCAGTTACTTAATTGAATTTAACCCACTAGAACTTATATCTTAATTTATCTATAATTTCTGTCTCAATTGCTTAAGGAAGCTTCTCAAATGTTCTCCTTCAAAACAAATCTACCCTTCACGAACCACGAAGGATGCTTTAAACAAAGCCTGCACACCTGCACACACTCATCTGCCATAAGCCAGGTGGCACATACTCCTCCTATCTTGGCTATAATTTATGGCCAAAACGGATGCAGCAAATGGCGAAGACCATGCGGATAGTAAACGTACATAGGTGTTACCTTTGGCCGACGGCTATTTAAAGTGTTGGCGGGATGAATGAAGGAACGATGGAGTGAGTATCTGTTGGATACTTTGTGATGGTGCAACAAGTTTTCCCCCTTCTCCCTTTCCATAAAGAGTATCCCATATGACACACTGGCAATTATTGTGCTATTATCCACTTTGGACAACACTCAGATGTGTTTGTTCAAGTGTTTTCCCAATTTAATTGCTTTGTGATTCGAACGGCGTGCGATGGCTAAGCATATTGACATGGCAAAAATTGTATTGCATACAAATGGGGGCAGACCACGTTGCGTATGAGTAATGCAATTGCTTGGTGGGTTTTTCGAGTGTATGTGCGAGTGTGTGTGGTGTGTGTGGGTGTGTGTGTGGGTGGCAACACACATTTTGTGATTTCGACAAAATTACATTTTGCAGTTACAAGTGGTATAAATACATTTTACGTTTCGAAATGTTTGTCAGTGCGGTCGGTTAGCATTTTCATGTGACTTTTTGTGTTAAGTCCCTGTGGCTGTGGAAAAGCATGCCCATTGCCACACTCATACACCATAAGTCCCCCAAAAAAATTTACATTTTTAAATTAAAACTATAAAAATAAAGCTTAAGACAAGATGTTTGTTGCATTCTTTAATAAGAAATATAATAACAAATAAAGAAATACATTTTTCCAAGTGATTTCTACTCTTTGATTTTTTGTTTAATACAAATCTCATAGTTCCATAAAAATGCATATTTTTCATATTATATCTACCAATTTTATAATTCCCAGCAACTGCATTTAAATTGCAATTTGTTTTTTTTTTGCAAAAGCAAAGCAAACATTTTTATCACTCATTCCAATCATTTATTTTATCTGTAATATATACGCATCTATGCTATATATATGCCTACAACTTGATAGTGCAAATAGTATATTTGAAATTTCCTCTAAATTGCTCTTGTTGTCACAGACGATTACGCATTTGGCAGCAGGGAAATTGTTTGGAAAATCACTGATATAAAATGTGAAGAGGATTTGTTTCTCTCTCTCTGACAGTGCCATGTGTATGTGTTTTTTAGGTTTCATAAACTAAAATCATTCTAAGCCAGTTGCAGAGTTTCGAAATGATTAGATATTAAGGTGTTAATTCTGATTTAAGTTGTTTTATAATCACAAATAAATATTTGCAATATTTGTAAATGGGTTATTTAATTATTAATTAAATTAGGACTAGGCATAGGGAAGTCATTTTAAGAACTATTTTGGATTGATGAAGATTACTTTATTTGTTGCCAAATTAAAGTATATATATTTTGATTGTCTAAGATTATGTTTCAGGCGCTTGTCCATGATATACAGTGTTTTTTGTTAACCATTTACCTTAACATTCTAAAGATTTCAAACAGAAAAGCAATATACTTAATTACATTTTTTAAGCCCAATAAACCACTGTCAGTGCCCCAAAATATTCAGTTATTAGTAATATTATCCAATTTAAGAGCTTCAAATATAAATATTCTCAATAAATTCCATTGCAATTTCCCCCATTTACCCCTATATTCAATCCTTTTAAGCCACACTGAATATATTTTGTGGCCAAGAGTTTGAAATTGGTTAAAGTTGAAGACCGAAACCCAATTGTCTTGTGACCACTCACTGGAGCACCCAAATTGACTTTCGGCTGCCATTTGGCGCAAGTCGGGGGCTAATTTGCATTTTGCGAGTGGGTCGCCCAATGATTGACTCGTCTGGGTTGAAATTTTTAGACCACAAATTGATCACTCACCATTCACATAGGCGGCAAAGTCAAAGTCCTTGTCTGGTCGGGTGCCGCCGCCATCATCTTCGATGTCCTGCTGGCGATTCGGCGACGGCTGCTGCTGCTGCGGCTGCTGCGGCTGCTGCAGGTCCTTTGTCGATTTCGGCGCGGAAATAGCGTCATTTCCGGTTGCCAACGTTGCCAGTGTGAGGCCCAAAAGGACAAACAGGACGGAGTGCAGGCGATGAGCTCCCGGCATTGTCTTGAAGCGGCACCGATTGCGGCTCGGGGCCGCCGCCATTCCGCCGCTAATTGCACGTACACGAGGGACTACTGTATCCGTACCAATAGTAACGGCAATACCAACACCACCGGCACTAATACACCAACACACCAACGAATGCCGGCCCCCAACAACAACAACAACAGCAAATAACAATAACAAAGAGAAGAAAATCACTGTAAAAAAACCACTGCAGACACTAGCCGGTCGCACTCGAAGGATAATAAACTCGCGGCTCAGTCTCAGTTTCAGATTCAGTTTCAGTTTCAGTTCAGTTGTTGAGCTGCTTACGCGTAAATCCCAAGCCGGCCGACGAAGGATTCTCGCAGGACTCTCGCGCCGAATGGTATCCCGGGGAGCTATTCGCAAGGACGTGCTGCCTGGCCAACGAGCGAGGCGCAATTGAGGCACCAAAGTCGCTGCCATCAACTCATATAGCCAGTTTGGCAAAACTTGCAACATGCCGCCGCACGCCAGCGGGAGCCGAACTTGTGTTTTGGTGAATGGACTCGGCATCGTCCGAATCCGAATCCTGTCGACGCCTGCGCCTGGAAAAACCAGCGACGCGACAGAGGCTTTTCCGCGGGGATAGGTGGCATGGAAGTTGCACAGCCAGAAGTCAGTTGCAGTTCATTTGCTTGGCTACGTGACGCGAGTTTTGGGGCAAACACAGTCAGGAGCAGGAGCAGGAGCAGGAGCAGGTAGTTTACAGCGATTCGGGATAATGGCCATGGGCATGGGCATGGGCAAAATCGAAATCACACGCCGCCACCGCTCCCGTTGGTGTTTTTAAGAAACCTTTTTATTATCTAGACGACGGCTGTCATTGGTTTAAATTGAGATTGAGTTACTGATCAATGGGGATTTCTTGGGAAACTGTTTGCCAACAGAGTAACGAGTTAACATAAATGTTTATATTTTTGATCGTTGATGGCGTTATTTGTGTGGTTTATTTGTAGTTAAGATCTTTGGTGAAATTATTGGTGTAGTTTTGTGAGGTCTAGGCAAAAATAGAACTTATAATGTGGTTAGTTTTTTTGCTGTACTGAAATATGGTATTAAATTATTGAAGTGAAATGTTGGTGGTGTAAATATGGTTACACTTATTTTGTGGGTTAACAAAACATAAGATCATATAGTCTTTGGTTAGTTTTTATTGGTGTGGGATAATTTGTAGGTGTAGTTTTTCCTGTAGTTTTTAGACAAGGCTTTAAGCGTCTGATGAACTTTACATATTTTTGTTAAAGAGTACGTTGGTGTAGTTAATGGTGTATTATTTCAAGACAGTATATCGTTTGTAGTCGTTGCCTTAGAGGGTTTAATATTAATTAGTAGTTAATGAATTCTCAATGTTGGAATAGGATTGTAAAATAAATTTTCTAAAGTTTTATTTTATTTTATTTTAAAAGGAAAAAGTAAATTAAAACCTGTCATTATTCTTGGCTCTTTCGCCTGTCGCTGTTGGTATATTTTTGTGGCTATTTTTGCTGCAGGTCCTGTTGCCGCTGCTTGTTGCCTCTGTGACCTGTGGGTCCAGGGATCAGGAGCCGTTACACATTACGTTTACCGTTACTGTTACTGCTATTAGCGTTGATGCTGTCGATGATGTCGATGCTACCGCTGGGCTTAACTGCGGCTGCCGATTCGCAGTGCGGCGATTTGCATCGCAATTGCAATTGCAATTGCAATTGCAATTTGGCATACAACTCTCTCTCTTTCAGCTACCCCTCCCTTTGCTCGCTTTCTTCCGCTCTTAATTAAAACATTTTGCAGTTGATTTGCGCGGCTGTGTGGTAATTTGATTAGCGCCTGCCTTTCACTCCCTTTCCCAAATGCGAAACCTTTGGGCGGCCTTTTTCCGCTTCTGTATAAGGAAAATGTATCTGAAAAATATACGTAAATATGTAAAGTGATACCTTAGAGCTGCCTGTGTACTGGTTTAATAAATTCTCTTTCACATCTATAAAGTTTTAATGCCAGAAATATAATAATTCGATGTCTGAAAGAATCTGTTGTGTATATATTTTGTATTTCAAGCCATCTGTCCTTGAATGTTTGTTCTCGAACTGTCCCAAGTAACATTTTTCCCCACAAAAATTAGCCCTTATCCTTATCTTCTTCCTTGTGGCCAATAAAGTGTATTCGGTTTGTTTGCTATTGATATTTATGGCCAAAGCCAGGAGCAAAAGCAAAAAGCAGAAGCTCGCTAATCTAATTAAAGTTGCCAAGTTATGGGGGGAAAGGACATTTCTGGCCTCTGCTGTTGTCAGCTCATTTTCATTGTTTTCACATTATATATTATTACTATTGTTATTATTATCATTATTATTAATATTTTTATTATCATTGTTATGGTTATTATTGTTAGCAGCGACAGTGGAGCAATAACTGCTCTTGGACAATGCGGCGTATACTTGATTCGACTCTACGTTTAGTCCTTACTCAACCATAATGCTCTTAGGGTCATAATTGCTGTTGCCGTCCCCTCCCTCACTGACCCAGCTAATTGTCGAGTTCTGGTTTTTCGTTGTTTCTCGACCCACTGCCATGTCCAGGACGAGGTTTTGGAGGCGCTAATTGAATCCGCTTCCACCAATGCCGCCGCAGGACAAAATGCAAGCCCAAAAATTGAACAATAGCCCACAAAACACTGAAATAGGCAGAAACCTCAAAGAACAAAAGTGCAACTGGATGCCAAACAAATTGGTTAAAAGTGGGGACAACTCACAGATACCCTTTGAATTCGATTAATAAAAGTAGGGAATTTATAATAAACATGTATTTATTGTGATTATTTTAAGGTTATACCTGTTTAAAGCTTTAAAACCAACCCCCTCTCTCTCTCTCATCTCTGGTCAAATGTCTCAAACTAATTACTATGCCCTTCCTGCAGGGTATTAATCACGAACCACAGCAGCAACAATTCGCTCTCTGCGGCAGGATGTGAGAGTTGAATTTCGCTCGAACGGGAGTGATGATGAGGCAATTTGTTTAGGCCAGTTATGCATCATTTGGGGTGGAAAATACAGAGGCAGACTGAGCGGAAAATGGCGGTTGAAGGACGTTGTTGTAGGGATGTAGGACAAGGGACGATGGAGCGATGAAACGATGGCATGAAGGACGTGGAGCTTAGGTAGGCAATTCGATTTGCCGGCAAACAATTTCCGGCCGCGCTCGGCTCTGTTACTCATTACAAGCGAATAAGCCCGGAGTCCTTGTGGTCAGCTTTATTCACACACACACACGCACACGAATATACACACACACACACTAAGAGGGATACACATGGAAAGCTCTCACAATTAGCGGCTGGAATCCGAAACCGATCCTGAATCCTGACTCCTGAATCCTATCTCCCGGCGGGTAAATATCCATCCATCCCATCAACAGCAGCCCTTGGGGTAGTGAGCCCCCAGGAAAATCTTACAGCCGGCACAGTAATGCCTCGTTATCCTGCAACCCTGGAGCAAGTAAGGCCACAGGCAGGCACAGCAGCACCAGCTGAAAAGGATTCAGGGATACTTAGAAGCCACTTGCGATTACTGATAATATTCTCACCCAAAAGTACACAACAACAGAGCCGAGACATGTGCCCGGGCATGTGGTGTCCTTCGCACATTCGTCACTCCCTGTTGACCACAAGCTGGACACATGATCTCCAGCGGCCGCGCACCCAACTTGGGCTGAGGAGTCAGGTCAAAGAAACCTAACGATAGATGGAAAATATCAGGAAGTCTCATTGAAAAAAGAACCCAAATCCAAACTTACTGCGCACTGGACCTGGTGCCTGAATGCGATGATCCCTCCTCGTCGGGCGACTCTCCAAGGGCACCTCCAGTTCCTGTTGCTCTCCAGGTGCCTCCGTTAATTCCAGTTCCTCTGGCACCAATTGCAACTGAGGTGGCTCAATCACCAGATAGGGTATATCCTCCAGGCGGTACCTCAGATGCTGTGGCTCAGCGAAGAAGGTCCTTCGACGATCGGTGGATAAACCTAAGTGAGCCTGTGGTGGTTCCGTGGCCATGGCATCATCATAGGTGGGCGGTTCCGAGGGCGACAGGGAGAGGGGTCTGGCTGCCGGATCTCCTGCTGTCACCTGTTCCATGAACCGATGCTCTCCACGTGTCTGACAGGGATCCATGCCCTGGTACAGCATTCGATGCTTTTCCTCCTCCATGACAATTCTTTCTAGTTGGACAATCGAGCCCTTCGCTGGCTTTTATTGAGCATCAAGGCGACATTAGGAACCTTCCCAAAAAAAAAACACACAAAAAACAAAAATCACTAAGATCCATGAAAAACAGTTGTCGATAATCGCATTCCGGGACCAATTAAGCAGCTGCCAACGATAGTCACAACCACTCAGCACCGGTTAGGTGGCAGAGATTGCGAGAGATGGAAAAGCTGGAGAGCTGGAAAAGGTGGAAAACTCGCTCTAAAAAAAAATACATAAGCTTGGAAAGGGTCGAAAGCCCCAAACAGTCGCTGGCACTTCATTCAGCAGCAACGGCGATTTCTGTCAGCTTCCGTTTCATTTCCTGTTCATAACTTTTTCAATATGTGCTGCTAGCCTGCTGAGTGGCCAATGCACTGGTAAAAATGTATAAAATCTAATCTCAACAATTTATTACTTTAGGTAAATATATTTTTGATAATTATCAACTATTACTTAGGTCATGTTATATTTAAATCATATTTATTATGCCTTTATTCATAAATATGTATACATTTTTAAGGTACAAAATTATCTTCTTAAACACACATTTAATAAATTTTTAAAGTATAAAATTATCTTCTTGTACACACATTTATTAATTTTCTAAGGCATAAACTTAAATTCTTGTACATCAATTTGTTAATTTGTTATAGTTTACAATTATATTCTTGTACATATGTGAATACATTAACTCAAAAACAAGAAAGTAAGATAACTTCGTCACTCCACAGTTTGCAGTTTACAAATGGATTATTAAATAATAAAATAATTTTGGTCAAATGAATTGGGAGAACTATAAAAATAACATCTATTATATTTACAGTTTTACAATAAGAGTTTTGAATTTAATATTTTGCATTTTAATTCTATATTTACGGTTTATTTCTATGTCAGCTCTTATATGTTAAAATCAAACGATTTGAATGAAATTATAATCATAATTAAAATGACTAAATCTCAGAGTTGGTGAAAATACATCAAAGTTATAATTTTCTAATATTTCTATAAAGTTTATAAAACACCTATGAGAAATATAGTACTCAAAATCTTATAATATTTAAATTGAGTCTTAAAATTTATATAATTAATATTCAGTATAGACCTAACACTCTTTCTTAAAGTAAATACCATGAAAATGAAACCCCTTTGAATATTTACTTCAAATTCAAAACTTTAATCTTAGCAAATTTTTTTGCACACAATTTTCCATTTATTTCATATTCAAAAAAATATTTAAGTACTGCCAACAAGAAGTAGTAACTAATTTCTATTTGCAAAGTTTTGCTGTACTAACATAAATGAAAGGTAATTTTTTTTGCAGGACCAACTCCTTTTTCCTGGGCCAGCCCTTAAAAATCTCCTTGTGTGTGTGGTGCCTGCTCCTTGACTCGGCGCCACTCTGTTTGTTTTTTTTTTTTGCTCCCCTCCGGATCCCTCTGTTTGTTTGTGTTTTGTGCTTCAAGTTTTTCAATATTTCTGCGGGAAATGCGAAGGTGGTGGAGGCGCGGTGGGCGGGGCAAATGCAATTCCGGTTGCCACTTTGCATTTAATCAACTTTATCGGTGTCGCACTCAGGCATCGCATGCATGTAAATTGTGTGTGTCGTCGCAAAACAAACTAAATAAGTGTAGGTGAAATTATAATAAAATATAACTAATTTGCATAGCGAATAACTGACAAGCATTCGATTAGGCAAAGTTAATACCCTGTATATGAGGGGGTTACCTTTGGGAGAATTTTATAAACAGGAAAGTTGTGTTAATTTTAAAATGAATGATTTAGGAAAATAGTATGTATATTTATATTGAATATTATTATATTACATTTAAATAATATGATTATATTTATATATAAATTGGTGTATTAACTTTGTGATTTATATGTATGTACCTATATGTATAATATTTATATTAATTCTTATATTTACTTATGAGACTTCTAAAATTTGATTTATCCAAAAAATTGTCATATTAAAATAACAATAAATATCGATTCAAAGAATGCGAAAATTGAAATTTTTTATATATTATATTGAGCATTACGCTTTTGTCGATATATTGTATTGGATTTTTCTTCTTATAATAACATAATAAGTACATTCCTAGTTTTTACATCATTTTCTGTGCAAAAAAGTGACTCATTTTTTATTTTAAGTGAACTAAATATAACTAAAAGAAAGCACAACAAAAGTTACTTTTCCTTATTAACGTTTTACTTTAATCAATATAAACTTTTACTATTATTAAAAAATATGTAAAATTATAATACTAAATGCCTAACAATCAACTTGTTTATTTCGGAACACAAAGATTCATATATCCTAATTTATATTCCTTCATGTTTCGGTTATTCTTTCTCTCTCTCTCTTTTAATTTCAGGGTATTCCCATGGTCGATCCTTTTAGGCCATTCATGTTCCAGTCATTCGTCATTGCTGCCATTGAAATCAGGATCGGGTTTTTGGGATCGGCTCTGGGAACTGTCGCTGCATAAATTTGCAGTCCATTTCAGGTTTGGACCCATCGCTTTGATGTTTGATTTATTGCACAGTTGCGAAGGTGGGGCTGAAAGGGGTTTAAAAGGGCCTTCAAAGGGGGTCGATAGGGGGGTTGATATGGAGGTTGACAAGGAGGGCTAAAAGGGGGCGACAGGAGTAGGCTGAAGGACCACGGAGTGGGCTTATCATCGGACAGGAGCGCCACACAATTGTGAATGGCAACTGCAATTGGAATTGACAGTGGCGCGTTGATGGTCGAAGGGCGAAGGGCGAGGGTTTAGAGGGTCAGGTGTCAGGTGCTGACTTGGATAAGCAAATAAATGGATGAGACAGGCAAACAATCCCGCCCTGGCTTTGGATTCCACCACGGATCCCAGTCGTTGTTGTCCTTTTTTGCTGCCTCTCCGTTTATTTTTCTACTATTTGTGCCCGTCGAAGGTCAGTAACACGGGGAATCAATATCACAAATCAGACAGCTGCCCATAGAAGAGTGACATTTAATGTTATTTTACAAACAATAATGGAGTTAATTTTACTTATGTTAAGTAAATAAAATCAATGAAGCTTATTTATAATTCAAATGTTTAATTTGTGAGCACAACATTGATAAATATTAAATGTGTTTACGGGGATTTAAGTGTTTCATTATAAAATTATAAGATTATAAGATTATAACCTTTAAAAGGAACGTTTTTAGTTGTGTAAGTCAAGGTTAAAGATTAAGGTTATTAAACATTTTTTAAAAATCTATTAAGTCACTTTTAAGGTACGTTTTTTTAATAGAATACTACTTTTTTAAACCGAGTTATTTATATAAAAAAGGTTGTTTGTTTTACTTATCTTACCTATATACATTCTATGTAGCTTTTAAATAATTAAATATAAAATCAATTGATTTCCACTTTATGTTAGTAATATTATTAATTAATTAATTTATTTATTTAGAGATAATAGCATTTTCATCTATAAAAGTATAGAAAGGTTATGCAAGTTAAGATAGAAGGTTAAGATTTATAAAATATTTTGTAAAATGGTATGAAGTAACGTGTAAGGTAAATATTTAAATATATTTACGTACGTTAGAGTTACTAAAATGACAGATAATTAACGTATTTAATCAACTTTTTTATATTTAATTCTTTTACTGAATTAAAGCTCAATAAACCTTTTACTTTTACTATGAACGACTCCCGCCTTACTAGAATATTTATTTACAATTCTGCAAATTTAATTCCAAATGGTTAATAATTAAAAAAATCTCTATTAATTCACTTTAAAGTTTACAACCAAATAGGTTTCCGATATCCTATTTATGCTAATTATTTAAACGCTATGCTTATATCCATTTAAACTCAATCATTAAAATCCATAGAGATTTTCTAATGAAAAGCGTCCACTTACCGAGAACTCAAATGTGGCGTAGTGAGTGCCTTATTATGGGCGCTCTTATGCGCATTTACCGCACTGTATGCGATCATTAGGAAAAGTTCCTCAATAAGCCTGCCACCGATTTCTTGGGGATTTGGCATCCGTTGAATTGGCGATGAAATCGTTAGCCCCAAAGTCTCGCTCCCGGCTCCCTATGGCTTTACAACTGATTGCGGCTTTTTGGGTGGAAATGTGTGCAAATAATATTTCGTGTAATTGCAATTAGCGCCGAAAAGGTTTTCACTCCTCGCAGCTGTTGAAAAGGGAGCAGTTTGTGAGCTCTCTTTTCCGCTACCATTTCCATTTCCATTCCAATTCCCAATGCCTTTTCCCATTCCCTTTCCCTTTTTTCCTATATATATGTATGTATATATATATCTCTATTTGTTGTTTGCCTTTGCGAGGGAATGTGAATGCGTCCGTGCGAATTGCGATTTCTTCGATGCTTCAATTACAAATATATATATTTAGGTTTGTATATATACACTGGAACAAATATATACTAGAAATGTCTAGTTTTTAAATCTTATCAAAATGTATCTTTACACAGATGAGATTAAGTTGCTACAAAGCAAGATGATAGTACACTTATCATATAATAAAAACTAAATTTATTTATTAAAAAACAATAATAAAAAAAGGGTCTAAAAGTATGTTATACATTTTTTATCTACAAAATTTAATGTTATTTTTTATGATGTAATAATAATATAATATATATTACTTTTGAGCATCTTTTGAAAGGTATTTATTTCAATACCCTAGAAATAAATATAAATTCGAGTTTATTCTATTTTCAGCACAACTTTTTGTTTTATGTAAGCAATGTAATCAATATTTTTTGAAAAATACTCAGTTTTCCTACTTAATTTTTAAACCCTTGCAGGGTATTTTAAGTTCAGGAAACCAAATTTATTACTGATCAGCATTAACAAGCGACTCAATCTGGCTATGTCCCGCAATAATTTATATTTTAATTATTCTTACATATTGCAATATTTGCAAAATTTATTTTTATATATCTTT